CATCTACAAATTCTTCTCTATGCTACAAACTTTGCAGCTTTTTTTTTCAGCTGCCGGTTAACAAACATACAAACATTCGTCAAAAACAAGAAACATACTGGTACGTTACAAACAAGCCGAAAGAACTCTCAGCCTGTTCGTTTGGCCGTGGCCTGTCGTAAACGATCGTAAATTTTCAGTCAGAACAGTATTTTTCTCTCACACAAATCAACCAGCCGTACTTCTTCACGAACCAACAACGATGCGAACCAGCCAACCGAACACACTGAAATCTGTCAGTGCCATCCATCTCTCTGCCGTCAGCAGAGGAAGCCGACGAGACCCATGCCGTCAGCACCAGCCGCGACCGCGAGCGGCAGCAACAACAGCTAGCTAGCCCCCTCCCCCTGCTAGAGCTAGACTTGGTGGACGAGCGTGTCGGCGGACGGCACGAGCGCGCGGCAGCAGGGGCAGTCCGGGTGGATGGCGAGCCAGGGGAGGACGCACTCGGAGTGGTACTTGTGGGAGCACGGCAGCCGCGTCACCCGCTGCCGCCGCTCCTCCCGGACCTCGTCCAGGCACACCGCGCACACGTCCACCTTCGACAGCGTCCGCGTCAGCTCCGCGCGGCGCTGGCGCCGCGTCGACGCCGGCATATCCGCCGCTGCCTGCAGGAGGGCCGCTGGGTCAGGAGGCGCCGGCCGCCAGGACTCGGGCTCGGGCTCGGCGCCGGTCGCCGGGACAACGTCTTGCTCGTCTCGCCGCCGGGTGCTCCGAGGGTGCCTCGGGGTCGACCTCCCGTCGCGCATCAGCCTGCTCCACCTGCGTTTGGTTCAGGTGCCGAATGTTAGCTAGGAGTAGGTTAGGAGACAATCACACAACTCAAATCAAAAGACAATAAGCGTGAGGTTTTGGTCATTCTGATGTTTGTCATGCCGAACGCGTTTTGAAGAAAACAGGAAAAGTATGGAAATGGAAGTCTGAGCAGACCACTGAGCTAGGCAGTTTTCCAGTCAACGGTGGGTTCTTGCTGACGTTTCGTACTCTGAACTTGGGAGTGCTGAATCGTCTAACCAAGGTTTCACCCGTTCGTGATACTTGATCGAAAGTCGAAACGGATCCAAAAGCCCTGTTCGGCTGACTGACAAGGCATGGCTAAAAATACTGTTGGCTGATTTGTTGTGAAAGAAAAATAATATTTGTTAGCTGAAAAAATATGCTTTATAAGCCAAGCGAACAAGGTGAAAGTGTTTTTCTCATCACATGGCAAGATACTCTCTGTTTTTTCTTTTTGACTCAGCTTTCTTCTGGTGGTGAGCGGAAAAAGCCAGACCACACAGCCCATGCAGGATTCCATCGTCCGCTTGCCACCCAGTTGCAATAAGTAGCATAAATAACACAGCATGCAGAATATTCTAGAAGGCAACGCATCATGGGAAATTGGGATGGATCGACGAAAGAGAGAACCAGGATCTATCGACTGCGGGTGTTGTTAGGCCTATTATATTAGTACTGCTTCTAGTAGTAGTGATCAGTCATCACGCAATAAATCAGAGTTGCTCCGATGCTGCAATCGAACTCCCCGCAGGACGCAGGCTATGGTGCCGTAATCAGATGGGCTCTTGTCCAATCGCTTCATCTTTCGATAATCGCTCATGTTTTTCCTTCCCCATCTTTTGAAAAGATTCTGTCGTCTTGTCGTCTTCCCAACGGAAGCGTGCATATGCAGAACAGGGGAGGAAACAGAGGAGGGAGGGAGAGGCAACCGACCTGGACGGCGAGGTCGACGTCGACGGCAGCGCGGCGCCGCGCAGCTTCTCCTCGAGCCGGATGCGCGCCGCCAGAGCGGGCCCCGCCACGCCCGTGGGCGCCGCGTGGTGGGTGTGCGCGTAGTAGTGGTGCTCCGCCGCGCCCGCCGACGACGACGCCACGTCGCCGTGGTAGTGCACGCGCCGCCGCCGCGCGAGCTCCACGCCCGGAAGCATCGTCCTCCGCTAGCGTCCCTGGCTGTTCCTCCTCTTCTGCTGCCCCGACGGAGGAGGTTCTTGCCTGCCTTGGCCTCGGCCGGCCCCTGATGCTCTCTTCTGCCTCCGGCGGTGGCGGTGCGCCGGCGCGTGCGGTAGCGGCCGCTCTGGTGGTTGGTTGGTGGATGTGTTTTTGTGGTATTACGGCGAAATTTCTGGCCTCCGGGTGAACTTGGTTTGGTTATATATACAGGCGGGGGAAAGACACGGGTGAAGAGAGGTGGAAGACGATCATCCGCGGAGACGACGACGTGTGGCGCGGCGTGCTGGACCGGGCGGACCGCGGGCGCCTGAGGAAGGTACGAGGAAAGCGCGAGCCGATTTCCAAAGCCCGGAAGGGGGATATGCTTGCTATTCCGGACCTGCCTGACGTCGACGTCGACGGCGACGAGGAGATTTGGCATTCGGCACCGGCCTCAGTGAGTGCGTCAGCGGAGCTCGCTACGGCCCCTGGAATCAATTGGATCAATCATACATTACACCCGAAGTGAGTGCTCTATCCACGTTCCTCGTGCAACATGCACGTAGAAATGGATGGCTGTATTTTCCTTTCGTTCACAAGCGCGATTGTGCGAACTATGTTCTCCCGCAAACGCACCTAGGCATTTCTAACCTCATCCACCGTATCAAACACACCTTACCTAGCTGGCCCGGCCTTGTTCGTTCATCTCTAGAGAACAACATGACGCAACGAATTTGAAGATTGAGAGCATCGTCATTATTTATTTAACTATTGTTGGCTTGTGTATTATTGTAAATAAAGATACCTGAGGTACTCAAGACGAGACTGATGATCCGGCCACGCATTAATTAAGGAGACTGACTTGGCCATATATTCATATATCCCAACCTCAGGCTCAGACCATCAAAATTCAGCACCTGAACATGGCAACCTTTTGCCACTCTGAACCAAACAGCTTGCCCGTGCACCCATGCAGCTTGCAGCGCGCTGAAGCGGTCCAAGCGCATGCAGCGCAGCGAAGCTCCCGCGGGCCCCGCAATTCGAAAACGGCGCAACAACAAAACCACTGCACCACAGCTCAGCCGGTCGCCGCCCGCCGCCCGCCGCCGATGATCAGCCCCCACGGTGTGTGATATAGTATTTTTTAAGTGGTTTTTAACCGACTCCTTGTCCTAGCTAGCTTCTGGACAAGGGACCGTTTCGGCTTGTACAAAACATCGCATAGTATTCATGCTGATCGACTTGATTTGGTGACGGCCACATCTCGTCCCGTGTGTTTAATGAGGTCTCTCTCGTATCGTGTCCTTCTCTTTTTTTTTTTCTCGATCACACAAAATGTCTGCGTGTCTCGTGTATTAAACATCTACTTCTCCTGTAAGAGTTATGCTCATTTTGTTCTTTTCTATAAACTTTTAGTTGGGCTTAAGATATTTTAACTTTAAGACAAACTTAGGATATATATAGCTTGTATCTCATAACAGTGGTGCTGTCTGTAGACAAGATATGAGTATGATTCTTGCAACAGGTTGCCTACTTATGACTATGACCCTTCCTCACAAGATCTTCAAGTTGCCTCTTCCAATATCTTCGCCCGCAATCACCTCAAATAAAAAGTCATTAAAAACCGAGTGAAATTAAGGTAAAGGCCTGTTTAGTAGGGCTCTTCCCCCGCTCCGGCTCTAGCTCCTCCGAAAAAGACCTACCAAACGTTATGTAGAAGGAGCTGTTTTTCAGTAAAAACAGAGGAGCTGCAGCCGTTTCGAAGGAACCACCAAAACTATGGCTCCAGCTCCTCTGGAGGAACCCCTCAGGAGAAGCTCTGCCAAACACGCCCTAAATAATAAGCCAGGAGATATTTGGAAATTTGGACTAATGAAGCAGCGCTCGATTCTTCTTGAACCATGGAGCAGCCCAGCATTAACATGGTAATATCAGATAATAAGGCCTCCTGCGGTCGGGCCTAAGGAAAAGAAACCAGCCCAACATTTAGATGGCCCGAAATGGTCGAAGGCTTTGCTATTTCACAGATGAAGTCATAAACAAATGGGCCCTCGTATCTTTACGACAAATAGCAAAGGCACGATTTTACGACTTTTAAGTGATCGCCGAGCTGGGCGAATGTTTCTATTCCACATCACAAAAATGCGCAGCGGACAGCGGTCACGCAGGGCGCAGGCGCAACGACTTTAGTATCAACGACAACAGTTCCAGTACTACTAGGTCTAGCTCGATGTCTCCGTCACTCCCTGTGTTATTAGGTACTCCTACTCCCATGCTTTTCTTGAAAAGTTGAAACCTTGAAACAAAAATATGGATGAATGGAACATTCTATCATCAACCATCATACACAATTCATTCGCAAGGAAAACTTGTGCAAGGAGAGACGAATAGCAGCGGCTCGCGGGTACGAGGAAAAAATAAATAAATAGTTGTTGTTTAACTATATAGGCCCCGTTCGCTGGTCTGAAACTTGGCTGAAACTGTCTGGTTGTGTGAGAAAGAAACATTATTGAGCTGATTTGATGAACAGTGAACTTCCATACCAGCGAACGGCGCCATCGTTGTAGCTACCTATGTCTTGGAAGACTGATTTGGCTCTCGTGTGACGAAGGATTTGTCAACATAATTGGATCGCTCGATCGAAGGGAGGAAGAATCGGACGGCTCCGAATCATGAGCGAGGTGACCACCAAACTATTGGGACGCATGATTCAAATAGTACACGGATTCGTTTTGTTGCGAGCCACGTATGGCTTTGGAAGCCCCTGGATGGCTCCGTCTCTGGCTCGCTAGTTTCCAACCCTTCCGTCTCCGGTCGCAATCCATCCGCCGTTTCTATTCCCCTATTCCTTCCGTAAACCCACGTATGAACCCCAATAGCGTCGCAAGCCGCGCAACGCGACACCTGTCCGTCTCTCCGCGCGTCCCCTCTCATTCTTTCTCTCTCTCGCTCGCCGTCGCGGCGCCTCCGCTCTGCTCTGCTGCAACTCGTGGGTTGCTTCGGTCGGTTCTCCGGCGAGCCAGACAAAGGGATCGATGGACGCGCCGGGAGGCGTCGTCGGAGTCGGCGGCCGCAGCGGCGAGCGCCACGCGGCGCAGGTGGTTGGCGCGGACGGCGAGATGGACGCGGCCGCCATGGAGCGGTTCGCCGCCGCCGCGGGGCTCCGGGGGCGGGGCCTCTCCTACGCCGTTGTCTCCATCCTCGGGCCCCAGGGCAGCGGTACGTACGTCGGCCGTGCCTTCCTCCCTGCCCTGCTCCTCCGGCCTCCCCCTCCCTTCCCCTCTGCTTCTGGTACAGAGGGTGCTTACTTTTACCCTCGGGTCAGTTGCTCGTGGTGATTGATCAGCGAGGTATCGAGATGATCCACGTAATCGTGGCTCCACCCCCCCCCCCAGATTAAGGCTGTTGCCAATTATTACTGCACAGTTGATTGGTTCCCCGTCCATGTAGCGTGTAATGATCGTCGAGCTCTGCTAGGCTAGGCTTCAGTTTCAATTCCGTCATTTTGGCGATTTTGTCCTGGTAGTTCGATTAGATTCAGGGCCCGTTTCTAACGGCTGCTGCTGCTTTGTACACTGGCCAGGGAAAAGCACCTTGCTCAACCACCTCTTCGGGACAAGCTTCAGGGAAATGGATGCCTTGAAAGGAAGGTAAACACCGAGCACAGAAGTATTGCTTGTTACATCATCTGCATTTGTTGGTGTGATATGTGCTGCTCGTTTTGGTCCACACCAGGCACCAGACCACCAAGGGCATTTGGATCGCCAAGGCTGTTGGGATCGAGCCGTTCACTGTTGTGCTGGACCTGGAGGGGACGGACGGGAGAGAGCGAGGGCAGGTGAAAGTTGTACTTGCAGCCATTTCTCCACTTAAATGTTCCCGAACAGTGTTCTTCTTTCTCATCAAATTGTGTTTTCCATGTTCGACATTACTAATTGACTGTTGTGGTCCTCCCCCTATAGTATGTTATTGTGTTCTCTTGTGCGTTGTGCTTTACCATGACTCATCATGTGCTGACGGGTTGCCAAATTACAATTTGCAAGTACCTGATTTGCTATGTACTACGGCATTTAACCTGTCAAGAAGAAATTGGCTGTGTTTAGCAATTAATAGTACTTGGATTGATTCACATGCAACATTAGTGCCGTTGTTAATTCTCCTGTAAGGAACTAAGGATCTTAGAGATTCAGGACTACTATACTGTGAATAATATTGCCAATAATATGCCATGTGGGTGATTAATGCATTTGGTTGCTTGGAGCTATACATGTCCCTTCGCCACATTAGTCACTAGTTTACCACTCTGCTGCTTGAATACAAGCACCTCATTTGAGCATCCATTATTTTTAGTGTAGTTAATTTGGTTTGAATTAATCATACCCGTTCTCTGTGTTGGGCAAAGATTTCCTTGCGTCAATTTAAACTATACATAGTCAGTCATTTATAGTTTTCACAAATTTGGAATTTCTTGTGTTTTAGGTTTACCACTGATGGGCAACTGATTACTTTGGTTTTGCTAATGTTATCTATCGCTTATATACTAATGTTTTATTCTTTCAGGATGATACAGCTTTCGAGAAGCAGAGTGCTCTGTTTGCTCTTGTAGTTTCAGACATTGTTATGATAAATTTGTGAGTTTCTATTTCACATATTACTGCTTTACTGAAAGTTCAAATTTTGGTGAGCAGGGAGATATTTAATTATTATATGATCTGCAGGTGGTGTCATGACATTGGGCGAGAACATGCTGCTAACAGGCCTCTTTTGAGAACAGTATTTCAGGTGATACTTCTCTTACAGTGAGACACTGTATTCCTTTTCTCCCATGTTCAGTCACTTATTATCATTTCTCTCTTTATTAAGGTCTTGATGCGTTTATTCAGCCCTCGCAAGACGACACTGCTACTTGTTATCCGCGATAAAACAAAGGTTTGTACAGTTCCAGGGACTGAGTCCAGTTTCTTTCTCTATTTCTGCAGTTTGATATTTTCAGTTTGTTTGACTTTTCTCGTGTTCTGATTTTTTCATGTATTTGCAGACTCCACTGGATTACCTAACACAAGCTCTCAAGGAGGATATTGAGAAGGTGGTAATGCTTTATTTTCTGCTTACCTGCTTTCCTCTTTGTCATGTCGCAATGCTCATCAATCACTGTCTTTTGTTATCAGATATGGGACTCTGTTCAGAAACCAGAAGCTTACAAGGAAGCAGCGCTTAGTGATTTCTTCAATGTCGGTGCATCAGTTTTCTGAAAGTAAGGCTTTCATGCATCAACTGACTCATATTTTCTGCAATATAAAGGTGGAGGTCACTGCTCTATCGAGTTATGAAGAGAACGAAGAACTATTTAAGGAGCAGGTAGACTGGACGTACAATAACTCTATTTTTCTCTCTTCAGTGTATCCCATTCCCTTCTCTTCTCTATTGGATGCAATTGCATTTGTTATGAAATTTTCATCTTCAGTGGAACTTATGAGTTCAGATTTATGCATGCCTTATTTCACTTAATGATACAGAAGACATTTTACTGTACTATGTCATATATTTTTTTCCCTTGCAGGTTGGACAACTAAGGCAGAGGTTTTATCATTCAATTGCACCAGGTGGTCTTGCAGCTGATAGAAGAGGTGTGGTACCTGCTTCGGGCTTCTGTCTCAGTGCACTGCAGATTTGGAAAGTAATACGTGAAAATAAGGACCTCAACCTTCCTGCTCACAAGGTTATTGTGCCATTATTTGCCATCAATGCTACAAAACTAAATAATAATAATTTGTGTGTGTGGACATGTCAACACTATATTTGAAATGTCACTTTTCTTGTATTTTGTCTAGGTCATGGTTGCTACTGTTCGATGTGAAGAGATTGCAAATGAAAAGCTCAAAAACTTTTTGTCCAATAAGGTGACAATGTTCTTATGTCATTCTGTGTTACTGTATTTGTTTGATTGGCTGAATGGGAATTATTCTGCTCTGCAGGGTTGGTTGGAGCTAGATGCAGCTGTAAAATCTGGTCTGCCACCAAGCTTCGGAACGAGGCTCAGTGCTATTCTCGACTCTTATCTATCAGAGTGGGTGATCTAACTAATTATCATCATAGATTTTCTCTTAGGAAGTTAAGATAAACACAGTGGCTGCCATGAATCTGTGTGTTCAAAACCTGAATTTGCTAGATTTAACTACTTGCTTCAGTTCATTCTCTTGAGTCTTGAGACAAAATGCTGATGCATTTTCATGCTGTTTGACATTTAATCGTGGACTGTCTATATGGAAACTAAGTTGGTATCTGACAATAAGTTGATCTAATTACTGGTTTTCTTATAATGGCCCTCTTTTTTCTCCCTTCGTTACTCCTATGAATGCCAATGCGTTAATACTCGTACTGGATTAAGTGCTCTACCCTCTTCATGTTGAAACAATTTAAACTATACTGGAGGCATGCAAATTCTCAATAACTGGGAATAGAGTGTTTGATATCTTAGGTGATTGAGCATATTTTTAGTCCTGGATAACACTAAGCAAAATGCAGAGTTCTCGTGAGTTAATCTGATTGTTGCTTGTAAGCCGATGTGACAAGTTATTGTACCATTTTTATTGCAGGTATGACATGGAAACCATGTATTTTGATGAAGGTGTAAGAGCTGCTAAGCGGCAACAATTAGAATCTTCAATGCTAGATGTGAGTAACTCATTTCCAAATGACCAACATCACCCCTGATTTGAGGGTTTAGTTTATCCTAGATGATTGTATTTGTTATCTGCTTGAGGAGGACCATGGTCAAGCTCAAGGACTATTACTAAGTTTGCTTAAGAATCAGTGGTTCATGACATTTTGTCTCGCCAGTTATTATTTCATATATTTGAGCATATGTTCCAACCACATCTTAGTGCAAACTGCAAACATCTCAGTTCTATCTTTCAAAAAAAAAACATCTCAGTCCTTTTAGTAACTAAATCTTTATTGATAGTTAGTGGACTGTTTCATGTTTTTTGTAGTTGGCCTTTTTATCTCAGTGTCATGAGAAAAGTCATGTTTTGCAGCACACATATCCTGCTATCGAGAGAGTAATGGAGCACCTGCATCTTGTGGTTCTTAACAAATTCAAAAGTGATCTGGAACAATCATTAAGGAACACAGAGGGATTTGCAGAATCAGTTCGTCAGTGTTCTCAAGCTTCAATGGAAGAGTTTGATGCTGGAATAAGAGGTATGTGAGCAACCGCTACTGCACCTCTTTTTTCTTCTATTATTAATATATATTAATCAGTAGGGGGCTACCCCTCCTGTTTCCTAAAAAAAAATAATTAAGGGCTACAATAAGATTTTGTTGAGCTTCTGGTGGACAATACCATTAGTGCAGTCCTAGGCTCTTGGGAGTCCTTGGTCGTATCATGTGTTCTCCTGGAATGGATGATGCTTGTTATGAATAGCACTGCATACAGAAAACCCTTTGTAGCAAGCTTCGTCGTCTACTACAGAGTAGCTTTCTCAGGTATCACAAGCTCCGGGGAAGGAACAGGAATAGGCGGACAGGGTCCCAAAGGCACATACCATGCATATGCAAGTGCATATGAAGTGCCCAACCCGGCTAGTTGTAACCATAAACAATATATGGGCAATGAGGGTCTGAACCGTGGCCTATGGAAGGACCATAAGAGAACATTCCCACATAACAGCGCTGCCGTGGTCGATAGCAAGAGCACAAAGTTAGCAGCCACAACAAGAGTGTAAAAGGCAGTGGCAACAACAGCAGTTTTTGTTTTTCTGTCTCTCTTTTTTGGTCTGCCTTATCCCTTCACCGCTACATGGTCTGTTCAGAACTGAGCAAATAAAGTGAGGAACACACCTGCAGACAGCTTATATGATATTATGTATCTCTTATATTTGACAATCTACAATTCAGTGATTTCAGGTCCTAGTGTGATTTCAGGTCCTAGTTCTTTTTTATGCAGATATAGCAGTTAAACATGTGCAGTGGGATGCTTCAAAAGCTAGGAATAAACTGCAAGAGCATATACAAGCTCATGTAGAATCTATTAGGAACGCAAAATTGGCAGAACTGAAAGCTAACTATGAGGTTACTTTCCTTGATTTTACAACCTCTAAATGTCATGGTCAACTCAGAACATTCCATCCATATCTTTTGACCTTTTACCATTTTGCATATTGCAGAAGAAGCTGTCAGACGCAATTGCTGGGCCTGCACAATCCATACTTGAAACTGGCCAGAGAGACTCCTGGGCATGCATTAGGAGACTATATAGGCGTGAGACTGAAAATGCTGCTCTTGCATTCTCAGCTTCCCTTTCTGAGTTTGACCTAGACCAAACAATTTCCAGTAAGATGGTCTCAGACTTGAGGGAACATGCAAGAAGCGTAGTAGAAATTAAAGCTAGAGAAGAAGCTGGAAACGTTCTGATGCGCATGAAAGAAAGGTAGAATTTGCTCTTTTCTTTGTTATGTGAAGGGAAATGGAAAAGTGATAATGCAATGTCAGTTTTCATGTCCTACTACCATGAGTGTTCATATATTTTGTACCTAATATGATGGGATTATTTGTAGGTTTTTCACTGTGTTGAGCCATGATAGGGATTTGATGCCAAGGACATGGATGGGAGATAAGGATATCCGTTCAATCACTAGAGAAGCACGCTTAGGGGTATTTAGACATGACATTTTTCAGCCAATCAGTATCACAACACTTCTAGTGTGTCTGAGCTTATTTATAATGCTCATCCATGAGAAACATAATCTGGATCTCATGTTGCACTGCAGGCTTTAAGACTTATGTCTGTAATGGCAGCTATACGGTTAGATGATAAACCAGACAAAATAGAACGGGCTCTGACTACTGCTCTTTTAGATGGCGGACCCCTTTCCCACAAGAGGAGCATAGAATTTGCTTCTGATCCACTTGCTTCAAGCACGTGGGAAGAGGTTTTGCTGCCTACACTACACTTGGATATTTATGGTTTAGGATGTTCTACAGTGAAATAGTTTGGAATACTTTATGTATTTGTGCAGGTTTCACCAAAGGATACACTGATTAAGCCAGTGCAGTGTAAATCCATCTGGAGGCAATTCAAAGCAGAGACAGAGTATTCTGTTGTGCAAGGAATGTCTATGCAGGTATAACTTTTTCTTAGTGTCTTCTTAATTGATCATCCTGTTTGGAGGCAGTGCTTGCATAAATATGATCCATGTTCACAGTTTTGTTGGATAATCAACATATGGAACTGATTTTCTTGGTTTCACACAGACTTCTGAATACCAATACTAGATTTCATCCCTGGTCGTTTTCCCATATTTCAAATACTTGTTTTGTCAGGCCATTTGTATCACTTGGATTTTGTTGAATTATGTTTATGAAACTTCTATCTGAATTCATTTTGCATTTTGCTAATCAAATTCTTCCCATCTGAATTCCTCATGCCAGGAAGCACATAGGCGTAGCAAGAGCTGGTTACCACCTGCATGGACTATTCTGCTTCTGGCAATACTAGGCTACAACGAATTTATGTTTCTTCTTAGGTAATCATTTTACCAGAATTATTTGTTTGTTTGCTTTCCATTTTTGGCTAAGCCAGACTACAGGACTGCTACACTCAGATTTCATTGTCAGCATCTTTCTTTTTTTTGTTACAGGAATCCATTGTACCTTCTAGGGCTCTTTGTTGCCTTTGTGTTGTCATATGCCATATGGTTGCAATATGACATCACTGCTTATTTTCGTCATGGCATGGTAAGAACATAAAATTCTTTTTATACAGAAATTAGATCCCAAAGTTATTACATATGATTCTGCTCCTTGGAATTCGACTTCTTGTTTTCTTCACCACAAGCGATGTAGTTCTTTCTTGCGTTTCTGCCTAGTGCATTTCAGGGCAACTGAATTTCTTACTAACGTAGTTTCGCACTGATCTGAAAATGAGTTTCTTCAATGTGCAGCTGTCTGCTCTTCTTACGATTTTATCAAGACTACTCCCCAGGATAATGGACATTGTGATGCAAATAATCAATATGAGCCACAGACACAAGCATGCATTCCCCACATCCATCTCGCCGCCCCCAACCTATCCATGCTCAGAGCTTCATGAACCAGACGTGGGGACGGGCTCAAGTGCAGTACCAGTTTCCTGACTCGCCATCCTCATCTTCCTCGTCCGTGGACTCGAATAGCGGTGATGACTCTTGAAGCTGTGCATAGGAACATAGAACTTTCCATGTGGAAGTTCCAGACTTCCAGTACTTAAATAGGTAGCCTTCTTCAGGGGTTTCTAGCTAACTAGGAAACTTTGTCGTGTCATCGTGTGCTTTTCACTTTGATGTGTACATGTGTATTGTAAGATGAAAAACCATAACTTACTTTTGCTGTTCACAAAAAACACGTATGATCATCTACGGAGTTGATAGATGGTAGCAGAACACTAGTAGATTCTTGTGTAGGCCAACCAAAATCTGCATGTGTAGTGTTGGGGATCTAATACTGGGATAGCCAATGAGGTAGAGTTGATAAGTACCAACGACATTCCCAATCGAACAGGAGCGCAACAACTCCGTCTCGTCCGACCCCCGAGGGCTAGACTCCACCTCGTCCGGCCTCCGAGGGCCAGACTCAGACTCCGCCTCGTCCGGCCGACAAGGGCTGAGCACCGCCTCACCTGACGTCCTATCCTGCCCCTCCATGATGGCAGGAACAGGGTAAGACAGGACGTTAGGGTCAAACCACGGAAGCAAGGACCATGCCCTGCTCTACTGACAAGTACCATCGAAGTACGACGGGACGAGCGCTTTAGGCCCTGCCCGACATGACAGAACCTGAGTAGTACTGTAGGCGCCGGGTTTTATGGCCTACAGTATTGCGGGTGCCGCCTTCAACCCTTGAGCACGGAGCCTGACACAAACACCGCAATAGGACTCACGTCCCCGATGCTGACAAGCGTGCGGGTGCCGCACCGTTCGCCCCCACAGTATCGCAGGCCGGCACTCCTGCCCGACACGTCGCCTGCAGAGGCGGGATGGGACGTGACCACTTGCAGAGCGCAGCATCATCAGCACACAAGTACCCGGCGAACGTGCCAACCTCTGACACCAGCTGGTCGTGTCTGAGGCTGGCTTGGAGGAAAAGGAAGACCCGAGCCCTTCGAAGGACCTTCTATACCCTTGGTATTTTTCACCTGTAACCCCTGCTCCCCCCTTCGTCTATAAAAGGGAGGACAGGGCTCCCTATGAAAAAGAGGACCGAACGAATCGACTTTCAACGAACAACTCACATACAGACGAGCTCATAGAGCCTTCTGTTCCACGCACACACAGCCAAGTCGCCGCTAGGCCCTTGGCATCCTTTCGACTCCTACATCAGAGACCTGGGACTCGTCCCTCTCTCGACCGTTTGTACCCCCTACTACGAACCATATTTGGTGCTAATAATACAAGCATCAGCAGTGGACTGGACGTAGGGACATTCGGCCCGAACTAGTATAAACCTTGTGTCCTTTAGCACACCATCCGGGCCTAACGTGCATCAATTATAAATTCACTCGCCGGTGTTTGTTCGAAACACCGACAGTTGGTGCGCCAGGTAGGGGACTTTGCGCGTTCCAAACCAGGCCATGGATGGCTAACCACGACGTCAGCTAGGTCCCAGGCACACACGTGCACTTCGGGAGCCTAGATTTCATCATTACGGTCGGGGGAGAGTTGGTACGGGCGAACACCGCCATCCGGTCTCTCCCCTCCACCGCCCTCGACCATAAGCGGCTTGGGCGTCGGCTCGGCGTCTCCCTCAGACCCTGGCAGTCCAGGAAGAACCAGCGTCACCTCGCCCCTTCCAGCGACAACGACGTGGCACGACCTTCCGAAAAGAGCCACCTCTCTCCGGAGCGCCACGTGCGGGGCGCCCCGACAGCGTTTCCGTACGGTCTCCGCAACGCCGCGGCAACCGCTTGCCACCTCATGGCACTGCGCATGGTCCAAACTCCCGTGAACAGCGAGTTCGTGGGGGTAATTGAACACGACACGGAGTCCCTCCACAAACTCCTCATCGAGGAGCTAGAATCATCCTCCAGCTCTGGCTCCAGCATGGGGAGCCATCACCCCTCCCGGGAGTGCTTCATGGCGGACACCTCCGAGGGGCACGTCGAAAGCGTCTCTGAGGGGGACGCTACTCCAACGGCCAACCCTGATGTGAGGGACAGAGGGAGGGCGGCGGCCCCATCCCACGTAAGGACGGAGCAGCTGAGAGCACGAAAGCTGGAAATCGATGATGCCGGACAACAACTCGTCCGGGAATACCAGAGAATCGATGAGGAGACCAAGCGTCACGGGGACGGTGGGTGCGCATGCGCCACGGCCCATGATGTGTACCAGAGGATCCTCACCGATGATGGAGCCCACCCTCACTTCGCCTGGGCAAGCCAGAACATCACCGCCGCAATGGCCTTGTTTCACGGACTTCTAGAGGCCGCGACGTCCGAAGATCGCTGGGCCCGCCGAGAAATCCGCACGTTGCTCGAACGCGCGGCGGCGCAACAGGCGGAGAGCTCGTTGTCTCGGCGATGCGAGCTCAACGCTAGCCAGCGCATGCTCTCGGTGCATCCCGCCAAGGACGCATTGATACACTAGACACCGCTAGGCGGCAGGCAGCGTACCCCTGTTCCGGTGCACCAACGTCTCGGCCGCAATCGCGACGCATGCAGCACCATCAACACCCGCAGGCGCGCTTACAACGATTCAGGAGAAGGAGCCAGACGTGGCTACCACCCTCGGCGTGGCGGACGCTATGATATGATGCGGCGAGGCCGGGCCCGAGCCCGGCTGCCGCCAGCCCCCAGGGCCTTCGGTCGGCACATCCTCAATCTTTGCTTTCCGCCAAAGGTACCGACCACCTACCAATATCCCTAAATATTCTAGAGAAACCAACCCGGGCTTTGGCTCAAGATTACCGGCTTGCTGTTAAAGGCGGTGGTGCGAATGATGACGATTTCATTATTCGCAATCTCCCACTATTCCTGGCCGATTCGGCGCAAGCATGGTTGGAGCATTTACCGTCCAACGCCATCCATAGTTGGGCGGATTTGAGGGAAATCTTTGTGGGAAATTTCCAAGGCACGTACAAGCGCCTCGGGAACCCATGGGACCTCAAGAACTGCCGCCAGAAGGCCGATGAAACCCTCCGCGGGTACATCCGGTGCTTCTCCCGGCAGTGCAACGAGCTCCCTAACGTCGTCGACGCTGACGTAATAGGAGCCTTCCTATCCGGGACCACCTGCGAGTCTTTGGTTCACAAGCTAGGACGCAAGGGCCCATGGACCACCAAGGAGCTCTTGGACATCGCCACTAGCCACGCCTCAGGCGAGGAAGTGGTCGGGGCGATCTTCAACCATTCCAATGACAAGGCGAGGCGGGACGAGGGCGCCGGCGAAGGCGCCTCCAATCGCTCTACCAAAAGAAAAAAATAAGAAGCAACGGCGCGATGACTCACTCGTGGCCGCTACCGACCGTAAGGGTGGCCGAAAGCCCACGGAGGGCACTCCGAACCACTTCGAGAAAATGCTCGAGGGGCCATGCCCGAACCACGCCTTCCCGGCCAAACATCTATACAAGGATTGTGGCCTCATGCGCAAATACTTGTTCGGAGGCCTCAATAGGGGGAGCAGGGGAAGGAACCTGTCCCCACCACAGACGACACCGAGGAGAAGGACGACGCCTTCCCGACGCCGAACGACACTGTGGGGGTATGGCCCCCAAGACATGGGCCGCACCATCGGAGGTGGCCCGGCCCACAAGATCAAGGCGCGCACGGCGCTGCTCGGCGTGCACCGCAAGACATTGTATAGTACCAAATAGGATACTTTACGTGTAACCCAGCCCCTCCAGAGTATATAAGGAGAGGCAGGGGTCCTCTACTTGACATCATCATGTATTCAATACAATACACCAAAGACACAGGACATAGGGTATTACGTCGATCAGACGGCCCAAACCTGTCTAAATCGCTGTCTCTGCGCCTTGTGTCACCATCTGGTTCCTGATTACGCGCATTCCCACCGATAAATCTACCATCGCGGGATACCCCTCGGTGGACTACCGAGCATATTCTGTCGATAGTTGGCACACCAGGTAGGGGTGTGCGCTTGATCCATGGCGAGCCAGATGGATCTCAAATCAACAACCCGTTCTCGTCGTCAATCTCGTGGAGATCCATCCTGGTCCACGACGACGATTCATCGCTGCTACACCAGCCCCTGCAACAGCAGATCCGATCTCGGAACCAACAACTCACCGCCGATGCTCTCGTCAGCCCTCGCCGTCGACTCGTCGTCACCGCTCGGCGATGACTCACCGCCGCTGCCCTCGGCGGCCTTCGCCGACATCTTTCGCTGACGTCCCTCGCCGTCGACTCGTCGTCACCGCTCGGCGGCCTTCACCGACATCTTTTGCCGACGTCCCTCGCCGTCGACTCGTCGTCACCACTCGACGGCCTTCGCCGACATCTTTCGTCGACGTCCCTCGCCGTCGACTCGTCGTCACCGCTCGGCGGCCTTCACCGACATCGTTCGCCGACGTCCCTCACCGTTGTCTCGTCGTCATTACTCGGCGGCCCTCACCGACATCCCTTGTCGCCGTCGAGCTGCAAGCGAGCTGCCCGCGTCGCCGACCAGATAACGCCATATGTCACGTGACGGACATTACATCTAAAAGCTAAGTCATGTTTTAATATTCTTCTAAATATTCTTCAATCTCCGTATATCGTCATAATGTTTCTCCGAACTGTTTTCTCCATATTTGCTCTTCAAACAATTTTTCGAACCCTCGAACAGTCACGTTGATGCTCGGACGCCTTCAGAGACGGCCCTATCTCCGGCTCCTCCCTACACGTGCTACGGGCTCCTCGCTCTGCGTTATGGGTGGTCGGCAGCGGCTCCTTGGTCACGCTTGTTCGTCCTACACGTGCACGGGCTTCGCGCTCGATGTTATGGACTATGGGCTAGCTAGGGCTGAAGACTTAGCTACACACTAACTGTTCAGGCGGTTTATATTAAACATAAATATATTTTCACGCCAACTAATCGCTGAACTGCATACGCCGTTTCATCACCATTGCTGATTTTTCTCCTGAGTTTCTTTATTTGTACATC